TTTCTAGGCACAGATGTATGAAGGCACTTTGGCATACAGGCAGTTCCCTGGCACCCTCTCCTGCCAGGCTGTGAGGGCACAGAGCTCCCTTACCCTGAGTACTGCTGCTGGAGCTCGTTCTTCCTCCCTGCCAGGCCAGCAGGCTGGAACACAGGGCTCATGATAGCCAAAGTGGGGTGAGTGACTCTGGCAGCAGTAGAAGCTCAGCACCCTGGCCCCAAGGATCTGTAAGAAGTTGCTGCTATGGACTTCGCCTCGGTGCTGGGTTCCTCTACATTTGGTAGTACACGTGTCTCCACAGAGCTGGAAGCTCAAGGCTCTACGCCCTTCTTTCAGAGAGGCTCACTTGGAGACTCTTTGGGATTAGACTTAACACTGGAAGAATGGCTTTGTTTCCTTTTAGATTTAAAATCTAAATTACAGAAAAGGTGAAATGTGGTGACTGAGCTGGCAAAGGCCTTGACAGTGCAATAAATCTGCAAGCGTGGGCCTGGCTTTTGCGCAGGGGTCTGTGCAAGTGCCAAGGTCTCTGTTAATAAATCTGACTGGAGGACCAGGAGGAAACTTTTTTTTTAACTTACTGCTAACAGCAGGCTCTTTTTTAACCATCATTTTTTCCCTGCTCCCTTCTGCTGATTCATGCTCCTGCTGCTTCGCCACGGGTAGACGCCAGCATTCCTGAAGGTCATCACTTGCATGCAGCAGCTCACACTGCAAAGTGTTTGCCAGCATCTACAAAATCAAAATGCTAAAGTGACTGTGATCATTTATATTTGCACTGTCAGTGATGGAAAATCTTACAGCTTGCCAGCCTCGTTGCTGCCACGTTTCCAGTCTGCTAGACTACTAGAAGGTAAAGCTGGGGCATGAAAGGTAATGCCTCCCAATAAACCTGACACCAGACCATTTCAGTGGCACAACAGCCTGAGGATTCTCCCTTGGGCTCATGTATAGGCAGTCCTCTTGGAGATTTGGAAAACCTAGGGGCCAAGCATGCACCCCTCTGACATACACCCAACCCCTTCTATGATCCCGTGACACTGGGAAATGAGATACTTGTGCTCACATCAGGTTTCACGCAGGAGTCATGCCTCTGCCTGCAGCCTGGGGAAGAAGAGCTGTGCTTCTCTCACTGGCACCTCCCTCCCCTTCTGTGTCTTTCCTCCCCAGACCTTATGCTGTCTTGGGCCGCAGAAAAGAGGCAGGACTGAAAGGCATGCTAGCAGCATGCAAACATCTCTAGGAGCATAAGTTATAATTTAGTTTACAAGGCGTGTCTCCCTCAACGGCAAAGGAATACTTCTGGTTTAGCTCCAGCAGTAACAGCACAATAGACATGTTTCTTCTTCAGGAAAGCTGGGGGGAAGACTCAGTGAAATCCTTCCTTCTCTTCTTCAGGTTCTTTAGTGAGTACTTATACTGTGGCAGTACTCATAAGTCTTGCAAAACACCAAGCCCTGAGTAAAACTACAGGAAGACACAGTGTTATAGGCTGTCTGGTGGATTTGGAATCATCAGTTACTTTAATGTCCATCTTTTGAGAGGCGACCACTAATCTTCCCTTTCCTTTAAGCATCTGTAACATAGGAATAACACGTATCTCATATGCACTGTCATCTGCCTCTGTTTCTTTTGCTAATATTTTAAATGGGACTTGAAAATGCAGAGCTTGAAGCAGACCCCACCTGCCGGTGCTGTGGGGCAAAGCTCTTGGGCAGCCGTACACACGGATTCTCCCTAGCTTCCCAAGCTCAGAGAGCTGCTTTCCCCCTTGACAGGGGAGGATGCCTGACCTGAAAGCACCCACAGTTTCTGAGGCATTTTACAAATGGCCATCTCAACTTTCTGGGAAGAAAATGAACTTCTAAACGAACTGACAGCACTAACAGGGTGCATGCATTTGCCTCCTCAAAGTACAAAACATGAATGAGCAGAAAAGCAAAATCTCAGAGCAATATTAACATTATTATTTTGCTGTGGTTCCTTGCTCAGCAGCAAGGGAAAATACCACACAGCAGGCTTCTGTAACTCATCAAATCAATTAGTGTCTTCGTCTGCATCAGCCAGTGGGAGTAGTCTGTAGCCAAAGACAAATTAAAGAAACGTCCAGTAAGATATTCTATTTTGAGAGGAGCTGTCCTATTTTCTCGTGCTAATGACAGACTCAAAACTCTGTGCACAATTTAGCTCGTTATTAGAACTAATTGGTGCCAGGCATTCCATCCTCTTTGATACGGCTAGCCATGGGTATGAAATTTTCTGAGTTAATAAACCATAAAATGGATTAAGAACTTTCAAAGTGCAGTTTGTATCACAGCTTAATTGGAAGGAGAATGTTAGTTGGCTTTTTATGGATACAAAAGGAAGCCATGTTTTGGGGTGGAAAAGCACATGCACAGCCGCCTTTCCTGGCACCGGGGAGCTGGGTAATTTCTAATTGCAGTGCCACAGAGTAGTGGCATTTGATGGCAGGCACCTTCCACAAACGCTCTGCAGCATGCTGTGCAGCCCATGGAGCCGAGGACAAGAACAGGCTTTTTTCTCTGCATGTAGTACTTACTCCTTTGTGCAGAAAGAACCAATTAGTACAGCTCTCCCAAGGTCAGGAGCTGCCGAGCAGAAAAAGAGCAGTCAGGGTGGTGTGACTCCTCCTGATGTGGCCAGCATAGCTGATGCCAGCCTACCATGTGGTCCCAATGATTTTATACCAATCTCATTCTGGCTGCTTCTTTGCCCCTCTTTTCCACTGTTCAAAGAGTACAATGATGTGTGTGTGTGTGTCCTTTTTCTTACTCATTGGCTCAGAAAAATAATGCAGTGTGATTTAGAGAATCCCCTGGCAGCGATGCAGGAGGAGAACCCTTTGCAGATGTCCCAGGCACAGCACGTAGCCTCGGGAGGGCACTGCACGCAGCGCTTGGCTGCCTGAAATCCATCAGCTGCATATGCTGCTGCTCTCTCTTCATCAAGGAGCACAAAGGCAACCCGCCAGCTGCATGCATTAGCATCATGGCCTGCCTGTGTTTAAAAGCAGTTCCTATATGATTTTTGTTAGTGAGGGGTTAAATTAACTAAGCTGTAACATATCTCTGAGAAAAAAAAAGGAAAAGGCCTGTTGTTAGCTTCTGCTGGCACTGGTTTATATCTGGTGCTGTATTTACTGCTCTTTACAAATATGAGCAATGCCAAGCAATGCCAAAACTCCCAGGTACTGATTGTACAGCTTCATTGTGTGCTCTTATGCACCGTCTGAGCTGCTTGGCACCCGTCTCTTCATTAATCAACCTCCACAAAACTACTTAACCTGCTTCCCCTGCTCCCCTTGGAGCTAGGATTTCTGTGACCAGGTAGGTTCAGCCAGGGGCAATGGGGAAACAGAGACCAGCCTGTGCTGGTCCTTCGTCTCCCAGTGCAGTGCTGGGGTGGCGAGGAACAGCCTTTTGCCTGCGTTGGGCAAGCCCTTTGTGGTTATGCAGGTTGCATGGCCGCCACTGCCATGGAACGGGTGCCCCAAGAGTGGGTGAGTGTCTGGAGGCTGAAGGTTTCCAGCTTTGCCCGGACTACTTTGCACTCCAGTTCTCATTACGGAGGAAGGTGGTCTTCAGCCTGACCTTGGTGCCCTCAAAATGCTGCAGAATACTGAAGCACAGTGAGCTTACAAAGCATGTCAAAGAGCTGTGACCCTGCTCTCACCCTTCACACAGCAGCTGAGGTCCTTACTGTTTGTAAAATACTTTGAGAACCATTGCAGCACAGCGCAAAACAGAAGCTGTTTTCCACCCTATTGACAACCAAAACCATCTTTAACATCCATTAATATCTTTTCATTTCAGTCATGAAAAGTTTTCTGCAACAGCATAAGAAATCCCGAAGAAAAAGATTGGACTTCAGGTGAATGGAAAACATTCCTTGTGCATCTCATAGGCTCAGCTCATGTCCCTCCTGCCTTGGCCTCACACTGCAAAAGTCACCGCTGAGCTACCTGGAAAGCTGGGGCTACACAACTTGTCAATGACAGAAACACTGGGATCCTCATCAATGTCCCACTGGGGGCAGATGTTTGGAGAGGTGAGGTATTTATTATGTACATCAAGATGCTTAGGGCTTGTCAATCTGTATTGCCCCAGTCACCTTCTCTTTTAAACCCATGCAGATGTGTGCACTGGTTTGCTTTCTTGTTCTGCTGTTCTTTGAAGCTGGGGGATTTCTAATCTTCACCTGCTATTTGCTTTACACAACTAGGCTTAGTATGTCCAAGGATTATAATAACCAGTTACAGTGCCCTGACCAGCACAGCAGTGAGGTCCTCAGTAAAACACCTGAAAAAGCCTGCGTTCCTGGCAAAGCTTCTAGGGAACATCTTGTTACGTGAGGGTAAGAGCATGTGCAGGGATGTTTGCAGTTCTGAGAGCATGCTTGCTTTAAAAAACACTCTGTATGTATCACGTAGAAACATCACGGTTAGTATTTCTTAACCCTTGGTGCTCTGCAAGCCCAGAATGTGCCTGCAGGGCCCTGCAGCTCCATGCTTCAGTGTTCAGCTCTCACAGACCCACCCAAGAGAGGAACAAACCGGGGGATGCACCAAGAAGAGCCCCCACAACCGGTGTGCTTTGTGACTGGAGCCTCAACCCTCCACGCAGCCCTGTTGGGTGGCTGAGCGGACGGGGAGGCTCTGAGAGGATCCGCGGGCGGCTGGGGCACCACTTCTGCGGGGCCAGATGGAGCAGGCGGCTGGGGATGGCTCAGGAGCCGTGGGTATGGCTCACAGCACGGCACTGCTGCCGGAGGGAACGGCCTGCGGCGGACCCCGAAACAAGACCGTCCAACCGCACAGCCGGGAGCCGCCGGGCCGGCTCCCGCCCAAAGGGGCGCGGCCCCGCCTCCGCCCAGCCCTCCCGCCGCCGCCGGTCCTCCCCGGGCGCAGCGCGGGTGGCTTCCGGCAGGGGGCGGTGCAGCGGAGGGGCAGGGGGTGGCGAGGCCTCTCTTGGTTGCGTCGCGCGAGCCGCGTCGAGGCGTCATATGACCGCGGCGCGGGGGCGAGCTGGGCCGTGTGGGAGCGCGCCGGTGCCCGACAGCCGCCGCCGCCAGTCCCGGGCCGAGCCCGCCAGTACCCCCGGCCCGCCCGCCCGCCTGCCGCAGCCATGCTGGCGTTGCTCTCCCGGCTGCTGGACTGGTTCCGCTCCCTCTTCTGGAAGGAGGAGATGGAGCTCACTCTGGTGGGGCTGCAGTACTCGGGCAAGACCACCTTCGTCAACGTCATCGCGGTGAGCGGGCCGCGCCGGGTCTCGGGGCTGGCGGCGGCGGGGCTGGCGGGTAGACCTGGCGGCCGCACGGTGCCAGGCACGTCGCGGCCGGTGCAGGCCCCGCTGGAGGGGGCTGGCGCCGCTGTAGAGCCGGGCCGGGCCGGGAGCGGCCTCGTGTCCGGCCTCGGTCCTCTCTGTCGCTTACCGGCGCGCCCCAGGCCGGTAGTGTCTCACATGCGGAGCCCGACTGCGGGGTGCAGCCGCTCCCGCGGGGCTGCCCGTGGTAGGAGCTGGCCACGGCGGCCCTCCAGGGGTTGGCTCCTAGGCGGTGGCTGAGCCAGCCGTGCGCGGGGCCTCCATAAACCTTTGTGTGCTAATGGGACCCTGATGACACCGATAGCTGTATCGGAGCTGTGCCGCGTGCTCTGAAGGCTTGTTTCAGTCAGCGTATTAGTCTGGTCAGGCTTGCGTTAGCATAAGGTGAAGATAGTATAATGTGTCTTCAGTGGCTTTCCTCCATTTGGCTTTTTTTCTAGTGGTCATCAGTAAATGATTTAAGTGTTTCCCTCTCATGGTCCTTCTCTCAGTTTTTTGCTTACCCTGTTTGCTGAAATCTGCATTAAATAATCTACTTTCTCTTAAGGTATGTGCTAAGAAGTACAACTTCCAAGCCTAAGAGCAGCACACTGCTGAACTTGGGCCTGCTTATCTGACGATCTGCCTGGAGCAGATGAAGGAAGGGTGTGGGAATCCTCCTACATGAAACTTTTCCATTGTTGAACAAGATAAAGCATGGCTTGCTTAAATGCTGTCTTCGGCCTCATCAGTGTCCTGTTCTGCGGATGCATGTGATGGAAGACAATTCAAAGGGACGAGCTGGAATTTGAAAGCCTTTGTAGGGAAACTGAAATGGGAAACCAGGGTACCTTCTAGTCTTGCAGGAGCATGACTGTCTTGAGTTCAGTGCCTCTAGAAGAAGGAAGCTGGTGTATTCAGCCTTACAATCAACAGAGCTTCAGGATGTTTTGGGTTTTGGTTTTGTTTGGGTTGTTTTTTTTTTTTGGCTGTCATCTGAATATTACTATTTTTATGAATGTATTTATTTGTCAGTTAAATGAGGTGCAGGATAGGAAAAGGACTGTCATTCTCTTGCAGTTATACAGAATACTTACATTTAACTAGCTGTCGAAATGTAACTAACCTCTTGTGTAGCTGTGGATGCTAGCACTTGGTGGTCTTCATGATAATGCTGTGAAATGGGTCTAACTTCATAAAAGGAAACTTCCTCTGCCTAGGTATGTTAGGTGAAAGTTGCTGGACCAAGAATGCTAGAAGCCTTTTCTTTAACGCAGTAAGAACTGCTGCTACCTCTGGGCTTGGATTTCTAAAAATGGAACTTTGAAATTGTTGAACAACCTCAGTCTGTGGCTGCTGAGCTGGCGTGTTCGTAGAGTTTTGGGTACTGAGGTTATTCTGCAGGTGTTTTGTCTTCTGGGATCCTAGATGGTGATGGCACTTGACTTTGCTGTTCCGTCTGTGCAGTATCAGCAGCACGTTTCTTTCAGGGAGTTATCTGTGAAACTATGTGGATAGTGCAGATATGTGATATGTGGAGTAGTACTGAATTGTTGTAGTAGCTGCACTTTGGTTTAGTCCATCTAAATCATCTCAAATGGGAAAAATACACCTAAGTGAAGCTGACATCTGTATCCAGCTTGCTTTGCTAGTGGTTGAATCTTGCAAGGTTTCAACCACACATTAGGATCACACCCAGACATTTATCTGAGTGTCATTCAAGCATTCTTGCAAAACTGAATGAAATAAGGAAGTTGTTATGCATAATGACACAGCCTAGTTAGGTGGTTTAAGTTTGGAAGTAGCAAGTTGCTTTTCCGAACTTTTTAATTAGAAAAATCTAGTGATTCTTTTCAAAGAAAGAGAGTGAGGGGACTTGCTCAGGGGTTTATTACTGGTTTGTTTTTTTTTTTTTTTAAATAAAAGCCCTAAGCTTCAGTTAGCAGTGCAGTATTAGTTCTTGAAGTAGTAGTGCTGTCCATGGCATGAAGAGCTAACTTCCTGTTAGCTGCCTCCTTGAAGGACTTTAATTCAGAGTATGCATTTGGAAAGAAGAGCCGAAAAAGAATAACTGCTCTCTGCAGGCCAGTTAATGGTTTGGATGGATGTAGCTGTCAAGCATTGGGATTGCTTAAAACCAAAATGAAAGGAATGACACAGCAAGATGCTAGTCCTGTAGAATAGCTCTAAAAGCTGGATTGCATACCAGGAACTTGCTATGGCTTATAAGGTTGTGTTCTGTCTAACAGAGGGCTGTTACCAGTCTCTTTACAACAGTGAGTTTAATCTAATCTAAGTCTCTAATGTAATTTATGCCAATCAAATCAGGCATATGCAACGAGAGGAAAAACTCAAGCAATTACACAGGAGACTTGATCCAAGGCTTGACTGCTGCTGGAGTAGAAAGGGCATGACAGGCAGACAGTCCCATTCTAGAATAATCTTTTTCCAGGTAGGTAACTGGTTTGACCGTATTTATTCCTTCAGTGTAAACATGCACTTACTTTCTGATCGGACCAAACTTACTTTGACTAGAAGGTTTAAAAACTGACCTTAGCAGTGAAATCTAGTTACAGCTGAATGCAACTAATGCAGCTTCTGCTTTGCTGAGGCTCTGTATTAGTCACTGTCTCTAATTAGATATTAAGCATAAGCTTTCCATGTGCATGAGTAAACTTGTTCACAAGGGAGGATATCATTTCTTCCTGGTCCTGATTTCCATAATGTAGATGGCCTGTGGCTCTTGTTTGTAGAAACTGCATGTTATCCCCGTATCACATCTTGAGTTGTTAGCTTCTTGTCTGAGGACTTGAAATGCCCATTAGTTACTGGAGTCTGTAGTATCTTCTGTCATTTGTATCTTTGCAAATAGCATCTATTAACAGGTTTTCATCAGGCATGCTGTCAAAGCTGTGAGTCCCAGCCATGCCATTGCGGAGAGGTGCAGGAGGCAACGAGCTCCACAGCCACATGACACAACTGAAATGTGACTCAAGTAAACTGACTCTGCTTCCAGGCTGTGGGCAGTGCATGCTGGTGAATAAAGGGACACTTATTCAGCTTCAGAAAAGTGCTTCATAGAAGAGCAGCGCTTCCTGTTGCGAAGTGTTGCTTGAAACCTGGTAGATTTGTTCTTGATCCAGGAGTTTGGCACTGGAACATTGAAGCTTGGTAGCCTGATTCTCAGCAGGCAGGAGAGGAAAACAGCAGGGGTTGGAGTTGGACTTCCCCAATACTGTTGTCAGGTTTAAGAGCTAAACTCAATCTGTTCCATTTGTAGTGATAGGGCAAATAAGATCCCTTTTTAAGATTTATGTCAAAGCCCAAATTAGCATGGTGTGGTTTTAACTTTGGGATATCTGACAAGTCTTTGAATGAGGCCTTGGTTCTGGAGGCAGTTTTAGAAATGCCTCAAGAAAGGATTCCCTTGGTCAGCTGGGAGCTGTGACTTCCTTCTGTCCTCGTGATTATTGTAAATAACTTTGACTTAAAGAAGCCGCACCAGGGAAGTGTGGAAAAAGATTGCTCTAAAGAGCTTTGCTGCTGTGTTAGTGCCTTCTGAAACACCAGGTAGGTCATAAATAACGTGTGTTGTCACCTCATACACATGGTAGTTAAGCGAGAAGGTTGATATTTTCTTTTAAGTGAAATGTTTCTTAATCAGAGAAGTCTCTTGAAATGGATTGCCTCACTTCATTAGGTAATAAAGCTAATATGAGGTGACTCATACTCTAGTTAATACTTTTTTTTTTTGGGGTCCTGCGTGCTGTATCCCACCTGGTCTGAACCAGGTGATTAAAATTGGAATCTAGTTTTTTCATCCTGGTCTTAAGTTCCCATATAGCACCCTAAGTAGTGGAAGAGCTTTAAGTGGTAACACCTGAAGAAAGATGCTTTCATGAAAGGCGTGAAATGTCTGTAAGTCTTGTGTGACTGACTTCTAGGTAGAAATGTGTCTTTTTAGGTCTTATTTAACTGCTGTGTGGTAGTACATGTTAAGCAGACCATGTCCTTTTAAACATCCACTGAAGTCAGGGTTGGGGAAATAAAACTTCATTTTCTTGTTGGATACCACTGTTTTGGTTTCTGCAGCAATCAGTCATAGAAGTGCTGTTGTAAAGCTTTTCAAGAGACTGTTTGATCACAGCGATTGAGGCTTCGAAACTAGAGTTCAAGCTTCTGAATGTGATCACAAGTAGCTGAAACACTGAAGTATTTCAAGAAGGCAGCTAGACTACAGAAACTGGAGAATTGATTTGTCCATATATAATGTGCTTTTTGGTTGAGGCTATGAATGTTGCAGAGGAGGCTTAGTGTAGGGGTAGCTTTATGTAATGCTAAAATTACCCTGCCGTTTTTTTTTTTTCCTTAAGAAGAGATTTCTGAAAGATGCAGTGATTTTCTTAGTGTGAAAAGTTTAGGGATGAGCAGCAGGGCTTAAGGTTATATACTGGTTCAGGTGAGTTGGGAGTGTCCTGGCTGGGATGCATACTCCCAACGTTATTGTCTCCTCGTCAGCTAAGCTTGTTTGTGATCTCTTCTAGATGGATGAAAAGTATTATGAGTAAAGATAAAGAAATCCTTGGTGTGTAGTAACAAAGTCTGTATGAAGAAATTTGTCCTGTAACAGTAATGAATCATTTTAGCTTTATGAGATGCAAGCTGAAGGCTGCCCTGACTTTTTCTGTTGTTATAAAGAATCTCCTTGTGCAGGCTGTGGAATCAAAATCTGGTAGCTGTGAATTGGTGGTTGAGGACCATGAGGATGGACCGTTGTAGGCAGCATGCTTTCTGCTGATAGCAGGAGAAAGCTTATTGCTTTAGCTGGAAAGAAGAGGGAACACTGGTTCTACTGCTGCAGTTTGAGTTCTGCCTTTAATGGCTCCTTTAATGTATTGAAATGAGCTTTTAGGGAAGGTAGAGGAAGGAGGAATTCCAGTATTACACTCAATTACTTGATCAAACTGCTTAGGGCTTGGTGCTGACAGTCTGGTAAGCATAACTCCCTAGGAGCTGGCAGTCTTCTGCATGTAGTTTGTGGGTTAAGCTGGCTGCAGTTTAAGACTGAACTCTCATCCTTTTCACACTTCTGGAATGTTAGTGATGGAGAGTGCAATGCATAACACTGCAGTCCGTGCAAGGGCTGGTACTATGACTAGATGCGAGGTGAGCTGAATGCTAATGGATTTGTTGAAGTAGGAGTTGGCCCTGTGATGGAATATAATGCAGGGACCTAGTTCAGCTGGGAAGCAGTTTTGCTCCTCTGAATAATCCCTATTCAGCATAAATACTCAGGCAGGTGAATGGGTTCATGTTGTGCTAAAGTCACAATCTTGGGCTCTTGGGGAACTTGGAGTATTGAAAAGGTCTTAAACCAGAAGGCTTAACGACTAGTCCTGCAGGTTCTTTCTGCATGTGGTCTCTGAAATTTGGTCTGTTTAGTCTTCCTCTTTCTTATCAGGGGCTAGAGTTAGCTTTGTTTTGTGACCTTCAGTGAACAGTTTTAGGCTGTGTGACCTTAGAGCTAATGGCTTAATTCATTGTCACTTGCAGTACACAAGGCTAATCTTCCAAGAGGCCTGGATGAAGTACAGGGTCTGCCTACTGGAATATTCGCAAGTGCTGAAATGGATGTTCTTGCTGGATTTGTAAGCAGCTACTCTTGAGTGGCTTGAGCTATAAGTGTTTGACTATATGAGTGTTTGAGCAATGCTACTGTGTATGACAACAGCCAAGCACTTTGAGATCAGGAACTGAAAATATTTCTATGCTTATCAAACTTGTTTGAAAGCTGATGCCTGTTTTAGAAGGAGAAACCATCGTATTGTGAACACACGCTGATAGGGCTGAGTAATCTGCTCTAGGAGGGCTAGAGGGAAGTCTGATTCAAACAGAATTGCTTACTAATAAAAGCATATTCTTGTTCTACTGAGCAAGTAGCTTTTGCATATGAATAAGATGCAGCTGAATTCCTGGCTTTTTTCCCCCTGTAGAGGTAGTAAACAAAAGCCCTCTAAATTCTGGGTTTAAGGAACTGTTTCTGGGCTAAGATGGTTGGCTGCAGTAGCAGAACCTATCAAAGGAGATCATTGCCTGCTGACAAAATCTTGTACCATCTTTTTACCATTTTTGATCTATTTTAAAATATAAGGTGGCTTAAAATACAAGGTTTCTTCATGTAAACTGTGAACAATGTGTGAACAGTGTGTGAACACCCACACTGATATCAAAGTAAGGTCTTTCAAATGAAGAGATGAGTTGATCAGTATGCTCAAACCCTGCAGTCAGGTGTGCCTCTCAAAGCTGTAAAGTGCCCACCTCACCTCAGAATCAGTCTTAACTTTTTATAGTGGGGATTGGTATGCTTGTGTTTTGGAGGCAGCTCAGTGAAAGCAGCTGTGATACGCTTCTCTTCTGTTTCTGACAGCTCAGAAAGTATGTCAGTGCTGGCTTGTTTTGCCTACAAAGCAACATACAGAAAGCTGGAACTCAAGTTGTAACTGAGTGACTCCGTAGTCCAGTTTTTAAGCAAGTCAGAACAAGTTTTTATGCCACCTGGGTGTGTAGTGTGGGTAGAGAGTACTTGTAAAGTAGTATATGGTGCAGCAGCTTTTCTGAAGATACTGTGATGCACCAAAAGGAAGCTTTCCAGAAATTTCTTCAACATTACATTAAGCATAGGGCAAAAGAGGAGCTGCTCCAATCTGAAGGAATCCGTATCCTAAAAGAGTGGTAGAGCTATTTGTATCCTAAGAGAGCATGAGCTATTGGTAGGAACAGCACTTGAGTGAAGAGTCTTGAAGTATGAGTGGGATAGCTGACAGCATATGGGGTGGGTAATATAATGTAGCACAGAGATGGAGGTTGAAGGAGTGCTTGGGAGATGTTTGGTTAGAAGATGTGGGTGTAGGGTGTGACTGCAGAGGCAGGAATGCAGTGGTTCTTGAGCAACCATTGCAAGCTGACCCTTCAAAGGCAAGATTGGCAGTGCATGCTTTATGAACTGAACTAAACTGCATCAGATGTGGAAAGCAGGGTTAATCACCTGCCGCTGAGCTACACATAATCCAGCTAGCTGAGATGGGCAACTTGTACACTGGGCTTTCAAGGCAGGAACAGGAAGCTCCTGAGCCAGCGTGCAGGTTGTGCACCTACCTTGCCAAGTTATCAGAAAGGTTAGAGTAGTTTCTGAAATGTCCTGCATGAGATTGATACGTGTAGCTTAAAGAGCTGAAACATCTTGCAAATGAGAATGCAAAACACCTGCCTCATGAGATTTAAGCTGTCCATTTTTCAGATCATTGCTTTTTACTGTTGCTTTCCTTGTATTCAAGGACTTAGTTATTTTTTTGCTTCTTTAAAAACACAATTAGTCTGTATAGCCATGCATCTGGAAAGCAGATATTAAATGTGAAAAATCACCACCTGTTCAGGGACTGCTGTCTTTTCAAGTCTAAGCTCTGGATGTATTTCTGTTTTGGAGGTCAATGGCAAGATCAACATGCCATTTAACTGAAGGACTTGGCCAAATAAGCCCAAATGAGACCGTTATCATCTGTATGTTTTCAGATGATTTCTAATATTTGTCAGACTTGTACTGGAGTCTGTATGATGTGAAGCTTGCAGCTCTGGTATGCTAGGGGAAGATCACAGTGGGGGGTTGGGGGTGAGCTAGTGGGAGCAAGCCAAAGAAAGTGCAGGCTTCTAGGCGTAGAAGTGAATAACAGCATTGGTATTACGAGCTGATTGTCTTCTGTTTGCAGACTCTGAACAGCATCTTCTCAAAGCATAGAATCGTTTAGGTTGGAAAAGACCTTTAAGATCACCGAGTCCAACTGTTAGCCCAGCACTGCCCACTAAACTGTGTCCCTAAATGCCACATCTACACGTCTTTAAATACGTCCAGGGATGGTGACTCCACCACTTTGCTGGGCAGCCTGTTCCAATGCTTGACGGCCCTTTCAGTGAAGACATTTTTCCTAACATCCAATCTAAACCTGTCACCACTTGAGGCTATCTCCTCTTGTCCTATAGCTTCTTACTAGGGAGAAGAGGCTGACCCCCACCTTCCTCCATCCTCTTTTCAGGTAGCTGTCGAGAGTGTTAGGATCTCCTTTGAGCCTCTATTTCTCCAGGCTGAACACCCCCACTTTCCTCAGCCGTTCCCCTTCACACTTGTGCTCCAGATCCTTCACCAGCTCTGTTGCCCTTCTCTGGACCAGCTCCAGCACCTCATTCTTGTAGTGAGTGGCCCAAAACTGATACACTGGTGTGGCCTTACCAGTGCTGAGCACAGAGTCTGATCACTGCCCTAATCCTGCTGCCACACTATTCCTGATACAAGCCCTGTATGCTGTTGGCCTTCTTTGGCATGTCCAGTTGGACTTAGTTACTACTTCCAGCTTGTGAGCAGTTGTGCCCTAACTGTAGGGTGAGGTGACATCTGCTTCAGAGATCCTAAAGGGCTTTTAACTCAAGCTAGCTTCTCTGTGCAACATTAGGGAAGAGAAGCAGATTTTCTGCTGCTGTGGTACCAGATCTTAATTAAACAACTGAATGCATTTGAGATGATCTTTTTTCCAAATCTGGTTGACTCTCTGGTTGTATTACACATAATGGATGTAGTGTGATACACAATGATTGCTGTGGCTAAGATTCACCTTCTGCCAAAAAGCTAAGGGAGCATGGGAGAAATCTGTACTGCTGTTGATAACGCTTGTTACAGCTCCTGGGTTAGCTGCAGGAGATAGCTATGAACTTGGCTTTCAAGCTGTTATAGATAAAAGTGTAACAGACAGTAAAACATCTGCCACCAGAGAACCTCTCTAATACAGCACTGTTTTGTGGCAGTTATGTCAGACCTTAAAGTGATGCTGAACTTCTGGTGGAAATGGACTGAAATATTCTCCAGTTGCATTCCAGTTGCCTCTTCCACTGTGGAACAGGTTGGACACTGTAGCCTAGCAGGAAGCAGACCTGTCAGGTCCTTCCACTTTCCAGCCTTTAACACTCCTCAGGAAGTTAACCCATACCTGTGGGTTGGAGACTTACTCCATAGGAGTGATTTATTACTCTAACTGTCATACATAGAGTAGCTTGCATCAGAGGAAAATCTAGCTTCCAGGTAACTAGGAGATCCTGATGTACAGAACTTGGCTCCAGCAGAAGTAGGTGAATGGCTCTTTTCCTATACTTGCTCTGCTTGTCCATCTGTTAAGTTGTGCAAAGCATTTTTCCACAGGTAACTTTGCTGCCCTGACTGCCTCAAGGCTTGGGGAAAAAAATGTTTCAGTGCTTGTAAGAAATGACTCTACTGACTTAACACAAGCTTCAGTACACATGAATATAATATCTGCAACTTCTTGTCTATAAAGCCTTCAGTTGAAAGACAGTAAAAGATTATATTTTATTATGTAAACTAGCTGCATCAGGTAAGCATTAAATTCACCTTTCTTGTTTTCAGTCAGGTCAATTCAGTGAAGATATGATTCCTACTGTGGGCTTCAACATGAGGAAAGTTACAAAGGGTAATGTTACAATAAAGGTATGTTGCTATTGTTGTCTGTCTCTTTTTAAACCCATGCAAGGTGGTTTTCATTTTCTACTTTAAAATTTGTATGTTTGCTCTGTTTTGCTTCCACCATTGGGACAAATACAGGAAACCGAAGAGGCTCAGCTAAATCTGTCAAATAGCTTAAGGATACGCATATGTTTGTTTATGGGGTTTCTTAAATGAAAATATGTGTGTGATTTCCAGACTCATGGACTAGTTAAAGCAATCTTGTGATAAAGCTGTCTGGCTCTAATCTGAGTTAATTCTCAGAGATTCTCCACTTCTGCTCATCAATATTGCTTAAGGGTAGGCTTATTAAAAAGCAGTTTTAAGTCAATACATCTTATTTCCTTGTATAGCACAGTGTGTAAACTTAGTACACAAGCGTGTTCTTGCACCTGGTATAAGATGCTCTAATTTGCAGCTTATGCTGTTGGGCCTGCAAGCTTTGAGCAGCTGTACTAGGGATTATTTCTGCTCTGATATGTGAGAGGTCCTGCAGCTGGCCTAAGGAGAAAGGAAAAACTGTTTTGATTTCTTGTCTTATTCTTTGTGTGACATGTTTAGACATAGTGCATGGCTAAATTGTCTTTTTCCCCTTGCCTTAAGATTTGGGATATAGGAGGGCAACCACGATTCCGAAGCATGTGGGAGCGATATTGCAGAGGAGTTAATGCTATTGTGTAAGTGTCATCTTCTTTCAGCTCGTACTTAACTTCAGATTTACTCCTCTTCTGTGTGTACCCTAACAGTGCATGCCTGACTTGATAGTACTTGTTTTAATTTTGCAACTGTACTGCAGCCATATTGACCTCTTTTACCCTTAAGTTCAGGGCTCAAGATAGGTTATTTTCTTACCAGTGTGTGATCTGGAGTACTAACTGCTTCCTGTCTGAATTGGATGGCAGTGCTGTCTAACTGAAAGAATCTTCCATCTACTCTGATCTTGGAGAATTTTTTTAAAAGAACCAAATTCTTTGCTCGGAAGATCTAGCTTTGTTTAAAGCCTTGTTGAATGTGCTTAGAACAGTGTAAAGGAAAGACTGCTGTTCATGAAGTAGTTCAGTCTTACTGATCTAACCTTAAATTCTCTTTAAAGCTACATGGTAGATGCTGCAGATCGTGAAAAAATAGAAGCCTCTCGAAATGAGCTGCACAATCTTCTAGATAAGCCACAGTTACAAGGAATCCCTGTAAGTAATATTGCCGTACTCAATATTAAACTTGCTTGCAGAATGCATAAAACTTTAGCTACTCTGAAGTTTGGCTTGAACTGTTAAGTGTAAGAAAGACCTAACCTTATTGGTTAGTATAAGCATGAACAATACCTGCCCGTTGTGTCTCAAATCAAATTGTTGACCTCAGTCAATTCTTCAATGATCTTACTCTTGTTCAATGCCAACAAAAAAAAAATAAAAAAAAAGATGAAAAAAAGGACAGGAGTTCCAATAGTAGAATATTCCACAGCATGCATTTGCGCTCTCTAGAGTCTGCTATAGTTGAGGTTAACCAAAGTGTAGTACAGAAGTATAGAGTAAGTTTAGGGAATCACAGGTGAAGCCTACTGGGATTGTTCTCGGTTTTATCAGTTGATGTGTTCTCATGCTTGCTTTCTGCATGTAACAGTTTATTTGTACCCCCACTTTCCCTGTGTCAGCCTTCCTTCATCTAGCTTAATAGTGATTTTCTCATTCCGTTCGATTTACTAGCCTAGTGCAGACTACTTATCAGACTCCCTGAAGTTTACTGTGTGGTTTGGTGTGGGTTTTTTTTTTTTCTGTTCTTTTTTTAAAAAAGCTGCAACTGTTTCCTTCTACTCTGGATTACAGGTTCTAGTACTTGGAAATAAGAGAGACCTTCCTAATGCTTTGGATGAGAAACAGCTAATTGAAAAGATGTAAGTCTAACCCTTCTGAAGAAAGGCTGCTTTAACTCCAAATGAATTTGTGTACATAAGGTTGTTACATGAGTAAGCTTGTATTTGTAAGTAGAAAACCCAGCAACAGGAGCTAGCTGGAACATTGTAAAAAACCAAGCTACTTGAAGAGGAACAGGTTAGATTGTCAGTGTAAGAGTCTTTGTTACAAGTGTATGTTGAAATGTTCTCTCTCGTAGGAATCTTGCTGCTATTCAAGACAGAGAAATCTGCTGCTACTCAATTTCTTGCAAAGAGAAAGATAATATAGGTAACTATTAACCTAAAATGTTTAACATTATGAAGAGCTGTCAGGGGATGGATCTGGGGGACTGTAACTACTTAAGCTTCCTGGCTTCAGTAAACTGGTAACAAATGAAGGAATAATGTGTCAGTGCACTGGTTAAATTTTGTATAACACCTGATGGCAGTGAGGGAGCTTGACTGGTATTAAACTGAAATCTGCTGCTTGCCTTTAATTTGCAGCAAATACCTGACTAGTCTCACTATTAGTTTGGCCTAAATGATTTTATACTTCTGTTGGGTGTTCTCAACTCTGCCACACTCTATGAAGCTAGCAAGTACTTGAAGCAGGTTTTTCCTCAGTCATTACCTTGAAATTATCATCTTCCCTTGCTGTCTTATCAAAGCAGTTCCTGTTGTGGCCTATGCTAGTCACTCCTCCATGCAGCCAGACAGTAATTTTTTCTGGTGCTGACATCAATTGCTTTAGAATTTCTGAAGTTCAAAGGCAGAAACCATGGTACTGTGTAATACCAAGTATTTGACATAAGTATTGTAAATAAACCAAGTAATCTCAACTGAATAAAAGCACAGTATTTATCAGGAAAAGGATGGCAAGTGTTGCCTTCTTGTGGCTGCCATGAGATTGACACTGGTTCACTGGCAGGCTAACACAAGTTTACTGATGAGGGAAACTTCAGGCTGGTGGTCACAGGAACAAGCTACAAAGGGTACCAGGACTGCTTTATGTTAAGGACTCGACTTCTTTCCAGAAAAATCTGCCTCTGGAACTCTTCTGACCTCTTAGCCACGAACCTTACTATCGAAGATGAAAACGTGGTGGACAGGAGCAGCAGATACTCCTTTCTCTCATATCTCCCACACAAGCCTCACAGCACAGCTGAGCATCACTGATGCTATAGGGAAGGTGCTGCTAGAAGCATTGGGCTGGTATGATATTAGTGCATTTAACTTCCTTAGGAGACTCTCTTTCAAGCATGGAGGAACTTGAAGACATATACTGTAGGGCTAAACTAACTTTGTTAGGCAAGGAGACACAGACTGCTAGATAGAGTAATGTTGATCTCAAACTAATTATGTGAGTCGTACTGAAGTGTCAGGTTAAAAGATGTCTTTTTTTCTAGAGGTGTAGTTGATTGAGTAAGAAGGATGTCTGGGGCAGTTCCTTTAAATGCTCCTTAAGAGATGCTGGGCAGCTATAGGACCAAAGCACTGACAGCAAGCATTCCAAAAAATGATTCTGTTGATCTGTCTTGGATCATCCTCTAGAGAAGGACTTGGATATTCCTGTCATGTCTGAGGACACTGGCATACCAAAGCGATGCCAGTTATACAAATACAGATAGACACTTGAATATGGAATTTCTCTTCTCTCTCCAGATATCACGCTTCAGTGGCTTATTCAGCATTCAAAATCAAGAAGAAGCTGAAGTCTTCCTGGAATCTCCAGTACCAGTCGGCCATAATCTCAATTGTCCACTTCCCTCCATAATGAGATACTACCCCAAAATCCTGTATCAAGAATCTGCCTTTTCACGGTTCATTTCTCATGTGCACTGCTGAAGACTTGTATTCCTATTCTGTCACAAAACAACTAGAGTTGTCATGATAAAGTCAGCACAAATATTTATTTTACAACCATCTATGGTGGGAGGGTTGGGGGGGGGGCTTTTTAAGAAAAGATAACCTAATCTCTCTACCATGTTAACTATGATGGTACACTCTGTTCTGGTTTTTCAGGGCCAGGTTTTTATATGATTTTCAGCAGGTGTTTTATTTCTAGTGTTTAGTGGCTTGAAGATGCTGATGCTTGACAGCATTAAGATTCTGTAAGATGCCACATACAGTAGTTAGAAAACATTTAAGCGTGAGTTGTGGGATACTGATTAATCTCACAAATGCATGTGATGTGTGTATGTAAGCAGAGAAATGGAAGCTGTTTGCAGAGGGGAGCACAAGGCATAATAGATCAGCATCACTAATCTACAGCTGAGATCTTACCCTGTCACTTGAAAAGGAAAACTCTCATGATGCATTAGGAAAGAGTCAAACTGTTTAAAATCATTTTGTTGCTTCTGTTTAACATTTATGTGGGGAATGGGAATGGACTGTTATGTCAGACTTTCAAAAAAATTGGAGTATTCCAGCATGAAAACAAATTGCTAGGAACATCAGACTTTGTTCAAATACATTTTTCTATCTGCAGATACTGGTGGTCTCTATCTGAAACCAGAACATACATTCTGAGCAGCTGCATGACACTTAAATTACTGATGTTTCTGTATAGAGTCAGTTGTTGACCTTTAGCACAATATCTATGTAATTGTCTAGTGTCTCTCCTGCTCATGAAATGGCTGGGCACAGTTTCACCTGGTGCTATGGAATATCTAGGCTATTGTGACAACTCTAGACCTGCCTGCTTTCTTGATGTAACCATGTGCAAAGTCTGTAAGTTGCAAGGTGAAATGTTCTACTGTGTCAAAGCACAAGAGAGCCAATGAATTGATCCTGTTTCTCAAGTAGCTCCTACAGTATAGGGAAGTATGCATAAACTAAAGATTGTAATGTTTTTTGTAGCTTTATTTTCTCAATGACTTCAGTATATTTAAAGGGACGGACTTGTTAAGACTGGTTTGTTCATACAGTAATGTCAGTGTAGCTTACTAGTGTATGCAAATACATGGTACACCTGCTTGTGTTGCCTCACACTGTGTGTGATTCTTCACCTAAATGTGGTTTGCGTTATGTTGGAGTCTTTGGTTGGAAACAGTTTAGTCCATATCAGTTATGACAAGCCAGTTTTAATTTAGACTGCCATGGCCTTACTGTTCTGTACCAACTATCGCTCTGTTGCACAGACACTACATGCTGCCTGCATTCAGTCTGAATTTACATTTTAACTTTTTGTCCCCTTTCAGTTCTCTGAAGCATGATTTCAATTAATTCATACTCTGGTGCTGTAGAGGAGAGGGTATATTAACTTGCTACTGTAGTCCCTAGTTCACCAGGAACTGCTACAGGTAACTTCTATTTAGCAAACTTGCTTGTGCCTAAAATAAGGAAACTAAACTAGAATGTGTGAATCTTTGTGGGGGACCAGGTCACTGTTTAGTTAACTGGCCTATAGCTAAACTCGATGTGTTTGGTGTTTATATACTTCACTGCTTTCAGCATTTATGGCATCCAAACACTACCAATTGTTAACCTGTGCATTACTCTCTGCATGTGAACAACTTATACAATTACTGAACTTTGTAAATACGTGAATTTTTTTATTTAGGTGGATGCATATGTTGGTTTACTGCTCTTCAGCTTTATTCAATAAACTTATGTTTTGAGGGTTGTATTGACACTTAACTGACTGACTTGAGTTGATGTGGCTTAACTCATGGAAATATGGGATGTCTGTCTGCTCTCCCACAAGATTAGAGTGGGGGCAAAAGGCTTGATAAATACCTGAGTTTCTTTATTTTCTGTGGTTCAACTGTTCAAGTGTAATATTCATAAAACTACCTTTCAGGCCTGGGGCTTTCTCAGCTTATATGAGCAATCTTAGTCAATCTCAGCAGACTTCAGTGTATGAAAAGCACTGATCAGCTGAAGGGTCTTAAGTAGGGGCAGCCTTCTGGAGCTCTGTTTTCAAGGAAAAAAAAAAAAGCATGTGTCTACAAGCTTGTTTCTTGTTGTCAAGTCTAGAGTAAAACCTTTGCTTTTCTAGCACAAGTGTCAGATCTAGCAGTTTCTGATCATTCACTGCCAATTAATGCATGAAGATTCTTATCCCATTGGGAAGTGAGGCTTCTCATTGACTAAGGTCTTGAACAAAATCTCTTTTGTGACTTTAATCTGAAGTTACAGTGATAGTTCTTTCCAGATGCTTTGTTACACAAATTTCTCATAGGTCACTGATTAAGTTATAGGAACATATGTCAACATCTTCCAAGTAATGGTAACAAACTAGATGTCTTCTAGTCAGGGCTTCCCTCCATGTAAGCTTTCACACTTACTGAACTGTAACAGGTTAGTTTTTAGGCTTGAGTAGTGTTCTGTTAGCATCCATCACATGTAGGTTTTCTGGTGGGAAGGACTAATGAACTGTTGAGTAAAAGATTGTGTGTATATTTCTTCAGTTGATGGAAGTTTTCTGCATGCAAAGCAAGCTACCTGGAGTGAAAATTCAAAGCAAAATACCTCTAGACACAAAATCAGTATTACTGCTGCAAGATTTGTCACCCTGGTTGGCCTGATACCAGTACTAATCACTTAAATCAGCTGTGGTATGAATTTGGTTGACAGCTCTTTGCTTGACATGGTATGTCAGGAATAGTTTCTACTAAATGTAAATAGCAGGGAGAGCTACAAAGGCCATCTGTGATGTGTGTACTCTAGAAAGTACATTTGTATTACTTCACAAAGTGACTAGGTTTTCAGAGCTGTTCCTGTACTGTTCTTCCAGATGGCTTAAGTATAGACCTTCAAGTGACTACTTGAATCCAGTGCAGAGGATTACACTTAATTTTGAAACAGAAAAGTGTACTAAGTCCTTCCAGAGGAGTGAGGCTGTTCTCACCACCTTTCAGCCTTGGACTTAAAAAACTGCTCACTCCTCTGGCACAGTTAAGTCCGAGGTTAAATCTTTTCTGTTCTAATGAAGGTGCGGAGCCTAAGGCAGATATTTAGCAGTGTTGTCTCCTGACCTTGAATGCTATAGTTGTGTTCTGCTTCTGGAAATCTGTTGGGCCAGTCTAATCTCTCATGATGATTACAGCAAACAAAGGCTGATGTAATTTCCCATTCTCAACAAAAGTTGCTTTTGGGTATGCATTTTACTAATATAAATTATTGTACTTAATAGCCATTGTCATGAAACCCATTTCTGATATGTCTGCAGTAGGCCTTGGCTGTTAGCATATTAAGAAAAGCAGGTCTTGTGAAAAGGCAAATACTGAGCCAGAGAGAAGTCTTGGTCATGAATATGCATGGGAGTTGGACATCAGTCATATGTTTATGATTTTGTGATGTGTTGCTATTGTGTGGTGTCTCAATGGTTTAAAATATCTTTCAACTCTAAATAGTTGGTGTTGATCAGTACAAGTGATGGCTCTTACTGATCATAGAGCAGCGAGTCTTCAGACTGAGAAGAGATGTTTGTGCATGCATTTGCAGCACTAGGCTGTGGGAGAGTTTTCTTTGTGGAAAAACATCAGTGTTAATGTGGATGGTGGTTTCTTTAAGTGCAGTTACAGTGCAGCATAATTATCATCATCATCCTGACTTTAGCTGAGTCTCTTAGCAGTTGCACAGAGCAGTTATGTCCAACATCTTGGCAACATGAAAGATGCACAAATGTGGAGCTGTTCTGTGATCTGTGGAACTAATAATGTGGTTTCTTACTGATTTGTGTTTTCTCTTTGCATCTTTATGGAAACAGGTTGGGAAGACAGTCCTTTTTGGATACTGACATATAAAGCTCCATAATCTTTACTTTCTGGTAGAAGAAAGGAGGCCAAAGAAAATGCCTTAAACAGTCGCTGATTAAATTAATATAGGGATGTTGTGCAGGGATCGATAATAACTTGAAATATGGCTTAGCCGCATTATCAAGCTTTTAACTTTTCTAAGGCTTAATTTTATAGTTACTGTGGCTGTGCAGTGGCATGTCATGATTTGCTTGTTGTGTGTTTACTGGATGTGAAAGAGATGCACTTCCTCCCAGTAGCATGCCCCAGCTCTGCTCCCTGCTGGCTTGCTTTTGCACTGACCCTGACTTGAGAGAGCTCGAATTCTAAACAGGGGGTGTAAATCAGGTTATTTGTCTTGCTGAGAGCAGTGCATTGCCAATGACACAAGCAGCAAAGCAGTGAATTGTGCTAAAGCAGAAGTAATGTGTGACTGCCTGGGACTGGTATGTGCTTCAGGACTTTCATTCCCAAAATGTGAGTGTAGAATGACTTGTCTCACTAGACTGTAAACCCTCAATGAGTAGTCCATTGCTTTAGGACTACAGATGTCGAATGTCAAAGTATGCCTTGGTGAAACATTAGGGTTTTCTTTTACATGTCACTTAAATGACAAACACAGAATGGCACTCAGAGGGGGTATGCACGTACTGTTTTAAAGGAAAAGTAAAATACTGGGTGTGTTTATTTCTGTCATAGTGGAAGCTGGGTAAGTAGACCTTTGTGCCAGGATTAGTGCCTTTAAATTATGACATTACAGGCTTTATTCTGTTAAAGGCAACATCTATCATTGTGATCGTTTTGCAGTGCTTCAATAAAGTGTTGTTGAAAACAATCCTTCTGCATATTCATCTGTAGTAGTACAGCTGCTTTTATTGTTCTTAGACATGTATAAGAAGCCCTCATTACCAAATTATGGGAAATGCCATTATACTCAAGTTAACCTAAAACTATCTATGCTAACATGTAATTCTTTACATCATTTGTGAGAGGAGCAAACAGGTTCACTCGTTGAAGCAGTCCTCTAACAGTGAAGAGAGCAAGTGGTGGTGTTTCCATATAGGCAGATATGTTCAAATACTAAATTCAGGAATTCTTTCCTGGCCTGATGGGGGAACTTTATGCTTTAAACATGTATTAGCAGAGCAGATCCTCTGGAAACCAATAGGAGTGTTAACTAAGTGACTTCATCTCAAAAGAGTGACCGTAAGCCTTGTGCTCAGTGGGGGCAACTTTCTGAGTATTTGGTCTGTGAAGTGCTCTCATTTGATTACCGCTTTGCTTTAGATGCTGAAAGCATTTGCTGGTCTCATTTGTGCTTCTGAAAAGACCTGTTGGGTAAAAATTCATAAACCATGTTACTCAACAAGCAAAGCAAATACGTGGGTAGAGAAGGAAAAAGCTGTGGTGGTGTGTGAAACTGTAAGCTAAACTTGGCTCTCAGGAGAGCATCACAGTGAAGTAAACTGGGAAGCTGCTTCTGTATAATTGTGTTAACTTGGGATGTGGGAAGATTTCAGTCTTTTCAACAATGTGGAGTTTTCCTTTTTTTTTTTTTTTTTATTAGAGTCAGTAAGTTAATCTTGGTGTATTAGTTTTTTGTGCTGAAGAGGGGAAAAACCCCCATTAAAAAGATGGATGAATTCCACAGGTTTTGGGGGCATTTTTTGTGGGTTTTGGTTTTGTGTTTGGTTGTTGTTTTTGTGTGGTTTTGTTTTTGTTTTTTTTTTTTCAGTTTTTCCATTCTACTGTTTCTGTTGTGATTGGTTTTGTTTCTGTTGCAATGAATGGAAAACAAAGAGCAAGATCTGGTTTTTGAAACAGAATGTATAAAATACAGGCTGAAGACAAATCATTAATGCCTGGTTGTCTGACAATGCATGGTAAGTCTTTATTTTTTTCCCTGTGCAGGCATTTTCCATATTGTCTCTATCAACTTGCTAACAGGTTGCAACACCAGAGTGGACACCAGCCTTAGTTCAACGATAAAACAGTTGCGGTTAGAACCACAGTTGGTGGTGTTACTGTCAGAGTTTCTAGGGTAGGTTGGAGATGTGTGTCCTCTTTACCTCCCCCAGCTGTAGTCTCTCTACTGCTGATTCTGTTCCATCTTTGAGAGGTTTTGTTTTTACCAGTACTGCTGTGAGTCTATTTTCACTTTTATATCTGGTCCTTGTCAGGCTTTCTATTTATACTGCTTTCTGATACCTGGAGCTTGTTCTTAGCTCTCTTCCAGCGCTGCACCGAACATTGCTTCACCATGGGCGCGGTGCCGCCGTAGTCGCAGCCGCTGCTCCGTTCCCCATCTGGCTGTTTGAGCAGTTCAGCTGTCAGCCCCCTCCGTCTCCCCCACTTCCATACCCCAGGAGCACAGCACGGCTTCCTCTGAACTCCCCGCCTCTTTCTCCCGCGGGTGAGGAGGGAAGCCGGTCCTGACACATGGGGGACCGCTCCCCGGCGAGGCTTCGCTTACTGCTGGTCACAGCGAGGGTGCTGGGTGCCGCCTGTGGGGTAAGAGGGTCTAGGCTGTGCAGCAGCAGGAGGGCCGGGTTGCAAACGTTACTGTACTCGATGGGGTGTTGAAAAACGCCGCTCCCTGTTCTCCGCCGCACTCCCGATAGCGGAGAGCCCCCACTTCTCCACCTCCGCCTCCGGGGCTGGGCCGGGCGCAGGCCTCACCCCTCTTCCGGGTGGGGCCGCCCCGCCGCCAAGCCGTGCCACGACAGCCCCGGCCGCCCCGTGCCCCGCCCCGCCGCTTTAAGGCTCGCAGCGGTTCCGCCCGTGAGTGACGGCGCTGCTCTCCCTGTGACCGACGGGCGGTCCCGGCTCGGCCAATGGGAGCCCCGCGCCCCGTGTTTCCCTTCCGCTGTTAAAGGGGGCGCGGCGCGGAGCAGCGCG